ACAAGTTTTGCCCGTTAGGAGCTAGGGGTGCAAGGCCCCAGAACCTCTGCATCTATATCCTTGACAATTGGCAGGCTTCATGGCCACAGCAGGGGCTATCATCCCTACAGCTTTCACCCTGCTGCGTCTTAACACACACACTGTCACTCATGTCACGAGTTTTGCTTGTTCACAGCTTGAGGTGCAGTTTCCCTCAAACCCCTGCACCAATCTTCTTGAAACTTGGCAGGCTTTCTGGCCTCACCAGGGACCACCACCCCTGCAGTTTTCACCCCCCTGTGGTGTAACACATACACGTGACATGAGTTTTGCTTTCAAGAATTTGGGGTGCAGTTCCCCTCAAGCCCCTGCACCGATCTTCTTGAACCTTGGCAGGCTTCATGCTCTTAGGAGAGGCTGCCACCCCTGCAAGTTCCATCCAAATCAGACAAAAAACAACAAAGTTATAGATATTTCATTGATTCCCCGTTATACCCTATGGCTGGATCTCCTGAGGCAGCTCCAAACCTTCAGAGCCACTTCAGCCAGATCAAGGCAGAAACCTGGTCTGGAGCTCTGAATCAGATCCCCGGCATCCAAAGTGGCCGGATCCAAAGCTGGATCAAATAGCTGCCTGCTCGCACTGGCCTAATATACAGATAACCAATGTTACAACATAAGCAATAGGCAGCACTTGAGACCATCATAGTGTTATACAGTTAACCAAATCATGTACTTACTCAGTATACATATGAGTGGAGTACATTATAGCTATTAGTGAGGAGGTATTTTTCATGAGCTCTGTTTTTTAGCTTGCATCTGCTGTCTCCCAGACATGTAACTATATTAAGATGGCCATCAGTAAATCAGTTTACAAATTATAAAGACAGCAGGGGAACTTTAATTTCATCTGGACTTTCTTCATATACTGCAGTGAAGGCAGTTGACAATGCCAAGATGCCAAGGACCATTGTAAAACATCAAAGCATAGCATTTTATACTTGTGGGAAAACTGAAGACTCTATTTGTACTTAGAATAGAAATGCTGTGGATATGTGAACTATATGCAAATCATTCATTTTGTATTGCATTTTCTCATTGAATAAGATCCACTAATTAAAAGAAAGTGGTACCTCATTTGTGTAATAGAGTTATAGAGTGTATCCATTACTGCTAACATTTCGGTGGTGAGAATTATTTCATAGTGTGTATATATATCATATTGATCAATTCATAACTTCCTTCATATAATATTATTTCCCTGGCTTGTGTTAACTCTTTTTGTTCAGACTGTTCTACTGTTTCTGTACAAATGTCTCAGTATGTGCTCTTAAAAGAAAAAGCAGAAGAGAAAGAAACTCTAGCATTCCTCTATATCATGTGCATCAAAGATGGCCCACAGGTTTCACCTGGCCCATGAAGCCCTGTCATCCAGCCCTTGGTGTTGCCCCTGGATATAAATTGACCCACATGCCCCACAGGTCCTGAACCAGGTAGAGCACTAGCTGCAGGGGGGAGTGACTTGTACAGCATACCTCGTGGGCACCACATAGCTGGATCTGGTTTCCTGGGGGGGGGGCCACAGGGAGAGTGGGAGGGAAGGAGAGAAGGGGGATCCATAGGCCCAATCCAGCCCATGGACTGACCCTGCACTACTCATCCAGTCTGCAGGGCCAAATGAGTTTATTTGATTTTATTATGTACATTTTTACGTAATTTTTATTGTTCCCTTCCTTTTTAATATCCTTTTAATAAATAGACCCAAAGATTTGCTTAGGTGAAGAACAAATACCTGTAAATAGTCAGAAGTTCCCTCTGAGAGAGACCAATGTGACATAAACCTCAAATACCGCTTTCTCTACCTTAATTTACAAAAATGTCACTGGCAAATGAAGGGAATTGATTCTTGTGCTCTGTTCAGCATCGGTGAAGCCTTACCTGGAGTCCTGTGTCCAGTTTTTTGGCCCCACTCTTCAAGAAGGATGTAAACAGATTTGAAAGAGTCCAGCAGAGAGCAGCAAAAGTGATTAGATGCCTGGGAAGTATAATTTATGAGGAAAGGCTGGGCGGGAGGGGGAGGATTTGATTACAGCCTTCAAATACCTTGAGGGCAGCTATAGAGAGGATGAAGATGGGTTTTTCCTTTGTGGCCACAAGCTGCAGTAGAGGAGATTTAAGCTGGAGATGAGGAAGAATTTTCTGAGTGTGATGGTGGTCAAGCATCATGAGAGCTTTAGGAAGAATCATTAATAAAAATGTTAGAAATCTTCTGACAAAAAATAGCAGTAGTTGCTATGCTTACCTGTTCGTACCTATGTGTGTCCTCATATGTTGATGATTCATGTAGTTCAAGATGATAAAATTTTATTCTACAGATGAATTGAAGAAAAAGATAAAGGATATTTTGTATCTGGGGTTAACATCTCACTCCTCAAAAGTGAATGGCTCTGGTGTGGGTGGAATCCTTATCTTCTCCAGTATGTATATTTGAACTTTGTTCTCGGTGGCTATGGATAAACATATTTACATGCCTTCTGAGTGGCTTTTCTGAGAAACATCTGGGAACTTTTCCATGCTCCATTTTATTTAATGTATATATTACTGATGTATCCCTTTGGGCTGATCAAGGTCTTGTATATTCATGGCTTTATTCTAGTAATTAGTCTCATTATTCTACTGATAATTTCATATACAAAGGTACTACTGCCTCTGTACCTACTTGATATTCCCCTGCTGACACATTCAAGGATTACATTTGTCCTCTTACCTATAGCACTGTGTTAGGAGTTATTGTTCAATTTGTTACCTACTATGGCCAGAAAGTCCTTTTCAGTTAGGGTTTTCTAGGATAGAATCTCCCTTCCTCCCCTCTGTAAAGTATGACATAGGTTCTTTGATTTTATATTATATGTACAATTTTGCATTTGACCATGTTAAAGCACTTTGTGCTGTGCTGACACAGGAGCAGACTTAGTTTTCTGCCTTAAAAGCCTTCTCCAAATCTCCAAATAGGACCATTTTTTCCTTTGACACTAACTCTTCAGATTGAAAATGATGTCACAAGTCCAAAATAATTTATTATTTACTTCCTGGAGGTGAAATACAGTTTCCACAACACACACTACTGTCAGTCACAAGGCACACATCGTATTAGTTAACCTGGCTCCATATTTTATGGACCTCTGAGGAAGTAAACAGTAGAAATGTGTTGACTCTCTTCTTTTTAGCATTTCTAGCTAATCACAAGCCAGGACTCCTGTTACATGCTTTATAATAGAAACTTTCCAGTTCATGTTATAAAAGCACTAGCTTGAAAGGTAATAAGCTAGAGAGCAATCTTTCTAGATTTGTCCCGGTTGCTAATCCATTATTCAGAGTAAAGATTTTCAAAGACCTACCCCTGATGCGAACTATAAAAGTAAAAGTGAAAATATATCTCTGATAAAAATGATGAATTCATAGAATGTATTTGTAGGTTGTGACAGGGAATGTTTTACTCTAAAGAGTATGTGGGGAATCAGGAAGTCAGATTTCCTTTACTTTAGAATGTAATCACTTTTTCCGCACTCCTTGCTCCTCATGTGGGCCCTGCCCCACCTGTTGAGAAGCACTGCTTTAGAACTTAACAGTAGGAGTAGGATATCAAAAAGGGTATGGAAATTCAAGTCCTCATCATCCTTCATAACATAGAAATTCTCTATTATAAGAATGTCTCATTCCTCTGCAAATCACTTTTGTATAGACAGAGTCTGATGGCAAATTGCCTAGATGATTATTGATAGTTTCATAGTTGGTAGGGTCGGAAGGGACCTGAGCAGATCATCAAGTCCAACCCCTGCCATAGCAGGAAAGAGTACTGGAGTCAAACGACCCCGGCAAGGTGTTCATCTAGCCTCCTTTTAAAAACCGCCAGGGTAGGAGCCAGCACCACTTCTCCTGGAAGTTGGTTTCAGATCCTAGCCGCCCTGACCGTGAAGTAGCACCTCCTCATGTCTAGCCTGAATCTACCCTCTGCCAGCTTGTGACCGTTATTTCTAGTCACTCCTGGTAGCGCTCGGGGGAACAGGGACTTCCCCAGTGCCTGCTGGTCCCCTCTGACTAGTTTGTGAACGGCCACTACATTCCCCCTCAGCCTTCTCTTGTGGAGGCTGAACAGGTTCAGGTCCTGTAGTCTCTCCTCATAAGGCCTGTCCTGCTGCCCCCTGATCATGTGAGTGGCCCTCCTCTGGACCCTCTCCATGCTGAAGTGTGGAGCCCAGAACTGGATGTATTACTCTCCATCCCTCTTGAAGTGTGGAGCCCAGAACTGGATGCAGTACTCCAGCTGCAGCCTGACCAGCTTCTCATAGAAGAATATTAACCATCTTAGCTACTTGTTTCTCAGTATGAGGATGAATAACCTAGCAGAACTGTATCAGCAGCAAAATCAGCTGCTGGTTACACAAATGTAGGACCAGATTTTACTGTGCTTACATTGAATGGTACTATATTCTAAGAGTTGATTTAGTTGGAATAGTTGAGGAGCATGGTACTTCTCAATGTAAGTAAGATTGGTACAATTAGCCCCCTAGTTCCAATACCAGAAAGCACATATTTTAGAAAAACATATAAACCATTATCTTATTTCAGAAGATATTGCTGCTACAGCTTTGTGTGACCCTGGGGACAACATACTGATAGTCTGGGTTTGTACAAACTGAAATAAAATGAATTTATTCTCAATTATATTTTTCTCATCTAGTTGTATTCTCTGTTGCTGCCTGCTTTTGTGCATAGGATTTACAATCTGCTGCCTGTTTCATCACAGCACAGAGCAGTTTGAGGTGGCTCTTATTCAGCATACATGATATTAGGAGCGCTTTCTGCATCCTAACACATTGTACACCTGTACAAGGGCTCTAAGTTAGTTGTCAAAGTTTTCTGATTTGTCTTGTTTTTTGTTTTTTTAATGCCTGCTTATTTTAATTGTGATGTAGTTTGTACTGCTTGCTGTATAACTGAGTTTCTCTTATTTGTTTCAGAATGTCCTGATTGTGGAGGTAAGCTGGCTCTTCCTGGAGTGCTGCATGTAGACAACAAAATCACCATTTTGCAGTCAGCTTCTAAAACATTATTCACAATAATGTTCTGATTTCCTGAGCTGGGAGAACACGAAATAGGAAGCTATTGATTTGTTTGCTGACCCCTTGGCTTCCCAATACCTGTGACTGGCTGACTGATCAAACCATATTTGTGCTGCTCTAGAGAATCCATTTGGGAACCACCCTTAGATACCCAGGAGCACATGTGTCTGCACCACCTTCCTTCTGGTGGCGAGACAGACTTCTGCTTCTTTCTAGGAATCATTCAGTTGCTTGGGGAACAACAGTACCTGCTGCAGTGATGTCCTTAAACTCTTTGTTTTCATGACTTAGGACTGGTAAAATGATATGGTCCTGTGTATATCTCATAGCCTCTGAGCTTTCCATGTCACTTCCACAGGCCGTTTGGGTAAGACAGTTGCTTACACTTGCAGTGTCCATGCTGGAGTACTCCACCATGCCAGCACTTCAAAAGAAAGTGGCTCAGTGGAATCTGGTGCTTAAAATCAGGGATACTGAAAATAAGATATCACCAATCTGGCACTGCAAAGTCTCTGTGTCTGTAATTCTCTTTAAAACAAGACACGTTAAAGGTGGGGTGGAAACATAGGAGGCATGTGGTGGACTGGTTGGGGTAAAATAAGCATCTCAGGCCAACTCTGCCTATTTAAGGTGTGAAAATGAATGGTCTGGGAGGTGCCACAAAATGAATTAATAATGGTTTGAAGTGGTTTTCAGTACAGGAGATAAAATATGAATGTATAAAAACCACTGGTTGCCTGAACCACACGGCTGGACCTCTGGAATTCTCTAGCACTCGTTCCTGCAGCAGGATAAAAAACAATCTGTGCAGCAAATTATATTAAAACTATTTGGTAATTGAAGGCTGCAAGTGGAGATTACACACCTAGCGAGTGTAGCTGTCAGGTGCTTTCCATGTGATTATTCTGTTGTATAACCATTTATTTATTGTTCAGGGAATGTATTTATATTCTGGCACATGTCTGGGAGGATTTGTTTGTTGTATTGTTCTGTGCACCTTGGCAAACGCTCTTTAAGACCACATTCTGCTCTTGGTTACAGGAGGACTGTGACTCTATGATCACAGGCTTCCTAAGAGAACACTGATAGACGTGTTTGAAATACCCACAACTGCATTTAAGGGCACTAGAACTTAATCCTTCTCAGGAGAAAAAGGAGGAATCCTCCAACCTGTTGGTATTTCTTTTGAACTGTATCCCAGTAGGGAAAATGCCTGCTCCTAAAAATGCCTTCCCTCCAACATTTTTGGAATATAACCTACACTACAGTAGGGAAAAAATAACCCCATTTCCCCAGAAATTAAAAAAAACAAACATGAAATCTCTTGTTGCTCAGATTTCCTGTTTTTTGCTTGTTATATTTTACTTACTTTTTTCATATTTTGCAAAGGATATTATTGGAACAGGAAGGACTATGAAGGCTCTGCTTAATAACATAGAAAAATGCGAGCCAAAAATGATCAAGGTAGCAAGGTGAGTAAAACATTTACAAAAATCATCTTCTGTGATTAGAGGAAAATAAAGGCCTATCTAGTGACATGTGCTTTTCTGTGGAGGAGCCCAGGTTAAGATTTTGTTTTAGTCCTCTACCAGTAATATATATCAGGGGGAGCACTGCTGGAACAGCTAACTAAGCCACATACATGGAGTTAGAGAAGAGGAGAGGACATGGTTTTGCTTTGCTCTACAGTGACCACTTTAGACATTTCAAGAGTGGCATGATCACATTTGAGTGGAACACACACATCTCTTCTCTGCTAGTACATTGTAGGGAGGAGAGGCAAAAACAGAGGGGGAATCCGTACATCTGAGGCATTTCAAGGAAATTAACACATTTTTAAATGTAAGTTTTGCAGACAAATCCAGCTTTTTATATAAAAAATATTTTATTTTCTTTAATGATAGTTTGTTGGTGAAAAGAACATCTCAGCCCGATGGGTTCAGACCTGACTGTAAGTGCTCCTATGAGAACTTCCTTTACATCACGGTACAATAAGCTAACATTACGCTAGCTATAGCATATTGTTCTACTAACATCATACAAAATGTTCAGCTCCTGCAGTCAATAGCCTGTGAAATTAGAAGACTGAATAGGAATGACATTGCTTTCTGGGGTTTGGAAGGTCTGATCTCCTTATTGGGTCCTAGCTACTGGCACTCTAAAGCTTCTTTTTTTGCTATTGTCTCATTCGAAACTTTACCTGAGAGTTCCTAATTGGTTACATTTTATCCATGACAACTCAGGGTTTTTCCTTCTATGTTTGGGTAACTGTAAGGGTTGTTATATCCTTTTCTTTGCTGCTTCGCATACCTTAAAAGAACATTCTCCTAGCACTCTACTCTAGAATTCCATCTGAACAGAGAACTGCATCCTAGTTGCAAGTTTACTATTAAATGGCAAAAGAATATACATTTTATTTGCTTTATAAAAGTACTTTTATTTAAAGGGTAGCATGTTTAGCCTTTCCTCCAACCAGCCAATGAGAGATACAGGTAACTTTCTGAGAAAAGCACATGATACATTGGGCTACATTCTTGGGCTTCTTTGTTTTCTCTAATTTGCCAACCTCTTGCTTCTCTGCTGCTAGCCAGCATCCACCTTTTCTTTGAAATGTTGGTACCTGGTAAGTTATTGCCCTCTGTATGATGCTGTGTGATTGGAGATGCATAGAGGCAGGCACGATGCTATTACCATGATAGGCTTATTAGAGTAAAGGACCCAGTAGAAATTATAGAGGCTAAAAATTGAAAGAGCTGGGTTGTCTTGGAGAAAATTAAGTACCAGTATTGGATAGGAGGGATTTTGGAAGGCAGGTAGGAGAGTGTCTTGAGAGGGAATGGCTCTTTCCAGGTAGAGGATTAGTTTGGAATTTGGGAGAGGGGCCAGAAAGTCTGGTGTAATCTCTGTGGTTGGGAAGAAGTGCATTTGCTGCAACTTGGCTTAGCACCCAGGTATTCCACTCTGGAGTACCTTGTGTGCGTCATTCTCATTTTTTAATATTTTTAATTTATCTAATTGGGTTAGTCTATTAAGTATATATTTTGTTGGCCTAGCTAAGGTTAAATGAATAAGGACAGTTGTTGCTACAATGAGACCCCCTAATTTTCTAACAATGATGACCCTGAGGTAAAAAGCAACAAGCAGGCAGTTTGTTTCTGTTTGGTTTTGTTTCCTCATATGTATTCTGATGAAAAAGCATGTCTTTAATTACCCACAATGCTTGGTCTCTTTCACTAAATCTTTGTAGAATTTGGGTCTTTAACTGTACAGCATTTAGCGACTGTAGGTGCTAGTCTAATACACATAGGCTTTGTATAAACATTACAACTAACAGTTTTTGGGATTAGATCCAGTTAACAATGGCCCCCAAACTAAAAATCAGGGGAGGGGCAAGTGAGATGGGGGGCTAGGGGGGGTTCATGGGGGGGCTAGAGGGAATTGGGGGGACTAGCAAGGTCTGCAGACGGCATTGAGGTACAGGTTTGTGGGATTGAGTGGGGTGGAGTGGGGATTGTGGAATCTGAGAGGTTGTCTGATCCCAACAAATTTCCCCAGACTCCCCCAATGCCACCGACAACACCCAGTCCCACAAACCATTCCTGGGGCCAGTTTTACTAGCGTTCACTGGCCCTAGAGCCTGAGTGAAGTAAGTCAGAGTGGGTGGATTGAAGGGGCTGGCTGCTCCACAAGGGGAGGCATTGGCAGGACTGGTGGGCTCTCTTGCTCCCCAAACTCATCCCCTGGCAAAGCAACCCTCCCCCCAATCCATCTTACATCCATCAGCTCCTGGCATTGTTGAACACTGGTAAAACTGGTCCCAGGAGCAGCTTACCAGGATCAGGGGTTTTGACAGACATGGGGTGGGGGCTGGTTGGTCCATGGGGGAGGGGTATCTGTCTGGGAGTGGGGGGAGGTGCTAGGAGTTAGAACTAGCTCAGTGCCAGGGGAGAGGGGCAGTAGGAAAAGGAATATATACAGAAGTTCAATTAGATAGGCAGGGACGCTGCTAGGAGGAGTCTTGGTGTAGCTATAGCCACCCCAAAATTTGCCTTAGCCCTCCCATAGCCACCCCTCCCAGTGCCACTACTGCCTGCCTGCCCCGCACAGGTGACGGGCGGTGCCAGCCTCTTCCCAGTGTGGGGGCTGGACCAGGGCTGGGCTTGGAGCAGGCGGGAGCAGAGCAGGCTCAGCTGCACAGGGTGGGTAGGCAGCGGCAGGAGCAGCACTGGGAGAGGTGGCTATGGGGGGGAGGGGGCTAAGGAGAATTTTGGGGTGGCAACCTCCCCTCCACCCCCAAGCTTCCCAGCCTGACCCAGCCCAGCCCCCACACCCAGAAGAGGCTGGCACCTCCCCGGTAAGTCAGTCTTCCCATATCTGAACTAACTTAGTGCACCTCTGAGATGCAGTTAAATTAAATCATGTCATCCATTATTTTTTTAACTGATATAACCTTCCTGGAGCTTCTGTACAGTTTGCACTTACACTTAGATCCCTAGTTAGGTTGACTTTAGATCCGCACGTGGGTGAACTAAGTTGGATCAGGTGGCCATTTTTAATGTGATCTAACCTTCCCCCTAACCTCCCCAAATGTCTATACATACCGTTATTGTGTTTGCTACTCTCAAAAAAGAATGTACATAGGCCCTACTCCTGGATCTTTGAATTCCCTATGAATTGAAGTTTAAATTGCTTTCTCTGTGGTGAAGTACTACATAGTTATCACATGTGCATGCCTGAGAATCTGCATCCTAACCTGGGTGGGACTTTTCTGCCTTGATTCTGGCTCCTTTCCACAGTGTCAGAGAGGCCGTTCTGCAGCCTTCCATAACGAACCACAGAGGGACATCCTAGGGCAGGATATAGGGGTCAGAAATTGTAGTGTAATTGACCAGAAATTGACCACTGACTTGGCAGTGGTCCTGTGCACCGCTGCCTCCTACTTGTTTATACGGATTATTCACACTTCTGGCACAAGTAGGCTCTGCACAGGAGCCGTGTATGGGCCACAGCTGGCCATATTGATAGCTGACATTGGTTGTAATGATACACATGTCTACAAGCCAAAAACTAACACAGTTTAGAATTTGGCTCCATGTGCATATATTTTCCTGCTAAAAGAACTAGCACATCTAAGTAGTTTTAGGGTTTGTTTAATGTTTGTTAACATATTTGATATCACTTATGGTTTCTGTTTTTCTCCATGTAGATTATGGTTTCGAAATCCCAGATATATTTGTTGTAGGCTATGCCTTGGACTACAATGAGCACTTCAGAGATCTAAATGTAAGTGTTTCTAACTATATTCAAGCTATTTTTTCATGTGGAGGGAATCGTGACTAGCCTATTTGCCCATCTTTTGAGGCTTTGTTATGGCCATGAACCTCAGCAAAGAGGACTGCATAGAATTCCTTTGGAACTGAAACACCATTCTATAAGTGTCCAGAAGGATTGCTGAGCAATTCTTTCCTACCCTTCCCTTCAGGCCTTTTTTTTCCACTACAGGCCAAATGAATCTAGCATCATCTGCCACACTAGCATCTTCTGCAAGTCTGGAGAGATGAGGACTTGTTTCTGCTAGGATTTTTTTCAGATCCTCTGTCTATCTAATGCTGAAGTCAATGAAACAGTGGTAAAGAAGACCTGAGTCTTTTCTCGCAGTTCCCATGGTGGTCTACCTCTTGTGGCATTTGACTAATTGCATAGCCAGTGTGGGAGACTGGGACCTTGACTCATAGCTAGGTCTTTGCAGAGCAAAGTAGCAGTTAATGAGTCTGACCAGTTCAAGAGCCTAGTAAAGACAATATATGCTATTGCAATCAATGTTGTTGTTTTTTTCCCCAGCACATATGTGTCATCAATGACCAGGGCAAAGCAAAATACAGAGTCTGAATTAACACCTTTCTACTCTGAAGATTTGTAAATACAATGACCCAGGATTTTAAGTACATTCCTTGAATCATCTCCCTGAAGACATATTCAGCAGTCCTATGTCTTACCCAACTTGGTATAAAAAGTGGATTACTGTAGGGATATTGACTGATATTCAAAAGTGAGTGTTTCTATCTAAATGAAAATACAGAGTTTTTTGAATTATTGTAGATTTTAAAATATTAAAATTACAATATGCTATCTCTTTGGACTAATAAGTTATCCGCCTCCATACTCATTGTGAATAACTTTCCTACATTTAGTAAGTCATTCTAAACCACCTGTCAGTTTTACAGTTAATATACCTTTCAGTGTTACATATAGTTGCTCAAGCATTACATTCTGTGTTCTAAATCTTTTTGTAATAGTACAGAAATGTCTTAATCAGACATTTAAGCATCACTTTAGTCCAGGTCAAATCTGACACAACTGAATTCGAAATATTGTTCACTTTTAATTCTGTTACTATGCTTCACATGAAGTTTTATATCAATGGATTTATTGAAGGTGATTATCATCTATTCCTTTATAATCTTTTGAACTGAATAATACATTGAATCTGAATGATGATATGAAATGAACCTTTAGGAGACGCTCTTGATTTAAACTGTCAAGATGTGGGACTGATGATATGTCATGTATGCATGGATCTACTCAACTGTGTTTAATACGCTGAATTGTAATTAGATTAATTGTAATTAGAAGAAAACAATGGCAGAAAGGCTTCAGTTTCTCAACTGCATCTTTTTATTTGTGTAGGACATAAACAAGTGACAGAAGTAACGTAATGTTCTCAAGTGCATATTTCAATAATTAAATTCAGTCATGCACAAAAGTTTGTTTGCCAGGTAGTTATTCCATTATAACTATTATTTTTCATAGTATGTCCAAATTAACACATTATTTTTGTAGTAAGTTGTATTATATATAAACGCAGACATGACTTAAGAATCCTGCCATAAAAGCAATGACATTTTATAAAAAAACCAAACAGTAACATAAAAACAAACTAACATAATAAATATTGCCAACTCTAAAGATTTCCTGTTTTCCTTACACATCATGTTTGAAAGAAGTTTGTTAATTTACCTGTTGTATTAGTTTAAAAACAAATGTAATTATGTGCTGTATACAACTGTTCTCAATAACTTCCTAAAGGAAGCCAAAGTAGGGTAAATAAGTGTAACACCATTGTTTTATTCTGAACTGTATGAGGCATATTGTTATTAGGCTCCAGTTTCCTATAAACTAATAAAGAAACAGTAAAAACACTTGTTGTGTTATACAATTGTTTATGATTTGTCCTGCTTCAGCATTTTTTTGCACAGTCCTTAGCAGCTCTTTAAAAATGTGCATTTGGACTAGTACTCTAAACGTACTCTATGTGTTTACCCTGTGGCTCATAAACTGTTCTTGTTTGGATAAAATCTAGGGGCATCTATACATGTGCTCTGTGATGGAGGGGGGGCTTTTAATTGAAGCAGCTCTGAGAGCTTCAAAATGATAGCAGGGGTGCTTTAACTAAAGCTTGAACGAGCTTTTGTTAAAGCACCCCTGCTGCCATTTTGAAACACAGAGATGCTGAATACACAAGATGCAGATGCTGCTGCTAATTAGCACACTCCAGCAGACTCAATTAATTGCGTTTGCTCCGATGTGTGATAATTAGCACGTCAGGGCCAAGGTCTGTCATGTTTATAGGTGCCCTATTACGTTACTGATATAAAATAGTGTGAGTGTAAAACTGTTGGGTTAGGGAGGGAAATGTTTTAGCTCTTTCCTTTCATTGCCTATAATCTGGATTTCTCTTGGAAAAGGTTTTCCTTCCTTGAATATCCTGTTTTCAAAAAGGATTCAACCTATTCCCACACCTCTCATTGGAGGAACTTGCAAAGAGTATTGCAGCTCTTTATTTTTCCTGTACAAAGCTTTAGTTTTCTATAGGTTTGTTAGTTTTAGAACTTTTTAGATGTAGCCATTGTTAAACCCAGTTCTAGATTTACCGTAAGTAGTATGTGTTTACATTTGTTAAATATGCACAGTTAAACACGACTTGTTGTTTGCTGTTATGATCCATCAATAGGAAAGAAACAGGAACTTGGAAACAGATTGTTGTAAAATTACATAAGGATAGATCTTTTGTATAAAAATAATTCATTGAAAGAGCAAATTAGTAAAAGCTTGGAATTGTCACTGTAATGGTAGGGATTGATTGGATACAATCTGTGGAGGCAATATTTTAGTAGAAGTGCAGGAGTGATACTGAACATGCATTGTTCCTTTTCTTGCTCTTATTTCTAGTTCAGTCACTGTTCTAATAGTGAAATGAAAAGAATGCAGGGAAAAAGAAATCAAGACCTGTCCAAATATATTGGTTTTGAGAACGATCAAAAAATCACATTTATTGTGTGGTCAGAATTTGACTGTTTATTCTCAGTATATTTTTATATCCCATCATAGATATCCTAGACAATTTCTACTTTTAAGATGGTAATACATCTCTATACAGAGAATTTGCATGGGTAGCTGCTGTGACTTAAAAAGGATTTTCCTTTCTGATTCCATACTTTACACCACTGAGCAGTTCCAGACCTCTGACTTGCCATTCCACACCTAAGTCATGCATTTATTCTTTCTGTCTACATAAAGCAATTCCATATGAAGAATTCATTTCCAACAACTTTCTTTAATAACCTGCTTCAAAAATACTACCAGTGGAACTGACTGGGCTGTTCATTCAAGATATTATATTTCTTTGATTAATGTTGGTTTCATTTTCTTCAAAGAAGGCTGTTTTAAATGTGCACATTTTTAAAAAAATCATACATGTATGTATAGTTAGTTTAATAAAAATGTCGATTCCACTTCTCACAATTTGTTTTAATTAAAACGCCAATAAACATTTGTTCAACTGTAATTGTACCCTGTGACTCATAAGCTAGTTCTGTGTTTTGTTTTAGTTTTTTTTTAAATCAGTTCAGCAACATCTGGTAGATTATATAAGAGAGGATGTTCTTCACAATCAGTTATTTTTTCTAGGCAACATGTTTCTGGTTTTGGCGGACATCCATTTTTGTCTGCATTCTTCTTGTACACTCTACCACAAACATACTTCTCCCCTACCCTTCTCTGAAGAACACATGCAGTAATTTTGGTCAGTGTTACACAAACTGTATCAATGGTCCGATTTCAAACTTCATTCAGTTCATTCATGCTTTAGAGTTGGTTCAGTCCCAATAATATCTGAAAGCAGTATTTTTTTTCTGATGAGAAAGCAAAATGAGGAGAAAGCCACTTCCTTTTTTCCTAAGAGCTGTATTTTTAATTGATGATTTCACACAACAAAAAGTACTCCAAAGATTTTTTTGCTTAAGGAAAAATTATTGTTTAAATAATACAAATGTCTCTACATCCAGAGAGACTTTTGCTTCTGCATAATCTGCTGGTGCATCTATTTCCAAATTTGAGTTGTTTACAGTAAGAATAGAACCATGTCTGGTCTTTTTACTCTGCCTGGTAATGATGTTAATTTTGTTGAACTAAGTCTGTGTCCATTCTAGGAGAATTTTAACATTAAATTCTTGGAGTAATTTGAAAAATGCCAGTATTTGCTAAGAAAATAGTATTAAAGCTTACAGTAGCAAAAGTTATAGAGCACTGAAGACAGTCTCTGATGTTTCCATGAAAGGCAGGTTTGTTTTGTTTATGCACAGCATCATGCTTAACTTGGGGATGCAGTACATCATTGTTCTGCAACTGGAATTACATTTATTTTAGTCAAGATACTGCATCTGTAATTTTTGCTATTATTTCTTTGACTGAAGGGTATGAAGTGAGACCAAGTTACTTACTCTGCATGTGTTTGCATTTTCATTTTCTCCAGATAAGATACCATGGCAGTGAAAAAGTATGCTGTAATCAGACTTGGCAGGCATGAAAGCTATAATTGACTCCAGATACCTAGAGTACTTAATTAAATTTTCAGTTAAAAAAAGAATACTGAAATAAAAAATATGGGGAAGTAGAATATCTAAAAGGGCACAAATCTTGCCATGTATAATGAAGCTAAGCTGTACTCACTATATTTTACAAGTCGTTGGGTAACTAGTTTTTTTTTCTATTGTAGCGTCACCCACTTCATCATTTTGAGTATAGCTCTGTTAGAAATCCTGAGTACATATCCCTACTAATTCAGTGTGAATTGGATCTTGGCATGCTTAGTCTTAATCCACAAACAGTTTTTTTTCTGTATCACTTTACAAGAAAATTTAGAAGTCACACTGACAGATTTTTTTGAAGTTTTTGCAAGTGCTGCTTAGAAACCTGAGATTTATTGCAGCCTTCTGAATAATCATATAACATCACATGATACTGAACTGCATAAGCAACTTTTGGAACCCAGAACCCAGTTCTCTTCCAGTAGAACTGTTCTATTCTCTTTGCAGAAAATTAAATTATGGGGTGGTTTTTACTTTTTTTATTTGGCAAGTTTTCAAAATGGGTCATTGGGAAGTGTGGGAACACCAGGCTAAATAGTGTGGAAACATGACTGATTTCCAAGAACTCCTGATTAAGTTGATCAAGGGTGAGAAGTTTTTAACTCCTTTTACTGCCTAAAACCATTATGTTATAGAGCGGGGGCAGGCAAAATACAGTCCGCGGGCCACATCCAGCCCTCCAGGCTATTATATCCAGGCCACAGGGCACATAAAAAGTTTAGAAAATTAATATTTATCTGCTCCTGGCTGCCTGTCAAGGATGACAGGAGCCAGGGGCAGTAGGGCCTAGGGGAAGCTGGCAGGATTCAGGAGCAAGGCTGGCCCAGTCTTGCCCCACCCTCACCCCCTCCCAACCAGAAGCCTCTGCCTGCCCTGGCCTTCACTGCTTCCCTTCATGTCTGCTCCAGCACCATGTGGTCACAGGCTTCATTGCCGCACTGCGGGAGCACAGGGCTGCACCAGTACCCTGGGGGGGAGGGGCCTGTCTGTGTAATGAGGGAGGGGGAGGTACAATATATGTGTGTGTGTTCAAGCACAACCCACCATACCAATGCACCCACACTCTGCCACTCATTGCCATATACGCAGATCCCCCCAGCCATCCTCCCCACACACACAACACCCACACCCCACATATCCACCCTCCCACATGCTCCCTCACCCCACACCTATCCACCCCCATACACACCCACACCCTCCCCAAATACCCACAGCCCCCCACAAACATATCTATCCCCCTACAGTATACAAAAGTAAAACTTCATTTGAAATGTACACTACACAGAAGGGGAGAAAGCACCCTATAAGGCTATTTTCAAGAAATGTTTCTTCCCTTGGTTCAAGATGAGGGAAAGATCTGAGTTAACTTTAAGAAGAGGAGGTTTCCCTTCTATTTTATAAAGGCATTCATTTGAAAACTGCAGGAGTCTTTTCTGCTCTTTTATATTAATAAGAATTTTCCCAAGGAGTGGAAATCTGATTCCATATGTGTAAGACTTCACATAAATGCAAGTTCTAAGGTCAGCTGCATGCAAGCACACTAGGAAAGGGATCTGCTATTCTCTTCTTTTTCTCTTAGTTTCATGTGATAAATTTACATATGTAGTGGAATGAATAAGAGAGATTGTGGTCTCTGTTTCTCAGGGCTGTGACTGAAGCATAAGCCATTGATGGGTCTTAACATTCAGGAATAGAAGTATCCAGGTGTCTTTTGGGTGGGTAAAATGGTAGTGGAGAATTTAACCTATTTACTACATTTCTACTATTCCTTCTTACAGTGTGAATGAATTGCATGATTTATAAGAGGGGGTGAGCAACAAATGCATGATTTGGGTAAGAACAGGTAAAAACATTAATGGGCTCATACAAACAGGGTGGAAAAGATTCCAAGAAGATTGAGCCAGATGATAAATTAGTTATTTTAGTTGTCAGTCTTCAGCCATCACTAATAAAATAACAGAAGAAGATAGCGCACAGTCCCCACCATCAGAAAGTTGAGAAATAAAGCAGACTGGAAATAATACTTGCCTTCATGCCAATTTCGTATGCCCATCATAATCATTCATTTAGTGGCTAGCTCTTCCATGTGATGAAGCCTTGGAAGACAGTTGCTTCATTACTCCAAACTGTCTGGCTCTAGAGGAATGAAGAAGCAACAGAGAGGATTGATTGTACCATGCTGGCAGCCACAACAGACCACTGAGCAGCACTTTAAAAGATCCCCATGCACAGCTAGGAAAAGGTACAGTACCAAACCTAAAACCCTGTCCTAGAGA